CTATAAGAGATAACTTCCATTTTCTTAATCTCCCTCAACACACCTCTCAAGGATTCTATATATAACGCATTCTTGTTAAATTGACTACCCTTTTAAGCATAACTGTATACGTAGAGAGAAAAAGAGACAGATCTAATGAACAATCACAAACGTGAATTGTCATGAGCTGCGTGTGAACAAGGGATTGTAACGAGGCATGGACCAGATTAGACGGGTGTTTGGCAAAGCTTTACTTTAATATTTTTTCTTTTAAACTTTCTTGTTTCTTTCGAGAAAGAGTACTTTTAGTATTTTTTTTACAGGCTAATGGTTAAGAAGTTAGTATGAATTAATTGTTAATAACGGGGGATTCGATCCTCAGACCAAGTAAACATTCCACCTCCTCAAATGAAGCGTGCAATCATTAAGCCGTTTTTTGGTGGAGTTTACGATGGTGGTAAAGTTCGAACCTCTGATTACCTTACCCGAACACTTAAGGTTTGGGGCCAAACTATTGAGCTTTAAGGCTTAGTTCACATCTAAAGTGTTTATATTCAAGTTAAAGTGTTTATATTCAAGTTAAAGAAAAAAAAAAGTGATGTTTCTTATTTTAAGTGACACTTTTTAAAATTTAGGTTCTTCAAATTTTATTTATAAACATTTTATATATTAAAAATAATTTTTTTTAAGAGTGTAGGTTAATAACATGTTTATTTTATTTTTTTTTATTAATTTACAAAAAAATAATTAATTTTAATTTTATCAATCATCTAATTAAAAAACTTTATAAGACATTGGTGTTGAAAAATAAAATTTACTTTTATAATTATTCATACTCCTTTCAGACTTATTTAATTATCTCATTTTATCGATTTAAATTTATCAAAAAATTTATTTATTACAAAAATTCAAACTTATCTTTTTATTTTAAGTTTCAATTATAATTAAACGGAAAAACCTTAACACATTTTTATTTATTATGAAATAAGAATAAAATTAAAATATTAATAGTGACATTTAATATCTTGTTAAAATTAAAAATAAAATAATTAAATTAGATTATCCTTATTTAAAAATTACTAGTATAATTAAATCAAATATAAAAAATATAAATTAATAGTAAAATATTATGAGAGATTCACCCTAATTTGTGGCATAAGTGACGTGTTAGAAAATCCTATCAAATATAACGTGTTATTCAACACCTGCAATTGATTCCACGTGTATGACAGGCCACGATATTGCTTGCATTTGCTGCGCCACGTGCTTTTAGATATGTCCAGACTAGCAAAACAACTTGAAACAGAGAAACACACCTGGTTCGACTGCTTGGTAATGGTGTGTATCACTTAATTTCATGAGTATGATTCAATTTCTCTTTTTTAAAATTTATCCTTGATAAAAAAAAAAAAAAAACTAGAAACAGAAAAACAAAATTCGTCGCCTGACAAACTAATTCCCACCGCAAGAATCTTGCTTTTTTCCTGAGAAAAACGGGTTAACCAGCGGTTGAACATGTTCAAGTACATGCCGTCTGAGTACATATTCAAATAAATGACCCTGTTTTTTATTTGATACTTATTATATACTTTTTTTTTTTTGAACGGTAAATACTTATTATATATTAATCCTGGAACTCACCCAAAGCGTAACTCAAATATAAAATCTCAATACTGTAGAGTTTAATTCTTATTGTCCTTAAGTGGTTGTCTCAAATATTGATTAAAAAACTTACAGTAAGATTTTAACTTTAAAATATCATATTTAAATTTTAAGTCAAATAAAAAAAATTAAGAAATGAAGGAAAAAAGAGGTTATTCACTTTTATATAGAGTAATATCAATTATATATAAAAAATTCTTGGTTTTGTTTGGGAGTGTTGTGATGTGATTATAGAGAACTATAGCTTCTTTTTTTTTTCTTCTTTTATTATCTAAAAAGTATGTAAAATATTAATTAAAATTAATAAAAAAAATTAAGAAAAATTAAGACATCTTGACAATTAAAATGTAATAAATGATAATGAAAAACTAAAATGTCATTAATAAATCAAAATACAATAATTGATACACCTTTTAATTTAACATATTTTATAACACATTTTTTAAGAAATTATTATTTTCAAATTTGAATTTAAGGTGAGGAAAATTTTACTTACAAAATTTAATGATTGAATTAGTGAGTGTTAACAAGTATATTAAATTGAAAAGTATACTAATTATTACCCTAAATCAAAATACAAGAAATATTCATTAAAGGTATTTGAATCATAAGAAATCTTGGCATTTTGTTAGGATATCCTAATTTCATTTTTCTCTTAACAAAAATATATAAAAATTAATTAAAAATAATAAATTTATATTTTTAGATCAGATACTATTTAAAAAAGATTTATGTAAAATATTATCAAATGAAGCCTAATTTAAGAGTGATGGGTTATAACCGAACTTATATTTTTGTAGTATTTTAATATCTAAAAAATATAAAAATATATATTTAATATTTATTTTAATTAATATTTTATATATTTTTAAGATAGTGAAAACTAAAAGGACAAAAAAAGAATAAAGAACTAAAATATTGAAAACATTCTCTAACAAAACTTGGCAAAAACACACACTTTGCCCTTCAACTTTTTGGCATTGAGGAATTTTACCCTTCATCTTATAATATATGAGTTTTTACCCTCTTATTTTTCGAGTTTAAGATAATAAGGCAATATTTAACATTGAAGGGTCACGTGGTGCACATGCAACGTTAGTCTCCGTTATATATGTTCATGTTAGCACCGTGTTAGACATTTTTTACATGCTAGTAGTGCCAACTTGGATCTTTGAAAGTAGGAATTCTATAGTCTATACTATTTAATGTGGATCCTATGTTGATATAATTTGAGAAAAAAAGAAAAAGTAAAGAAAAGAAAAAGTCAATTGAACCAAAAGCTTTCTCAGTCTCATCTTTTCTATTTCATATCCTTCCTTCTTGGTCTGATGTCTTTGGTTTCTTTGGTAAATAGCTTAAAATTATTCATTTATTTACTTTACACAACAACCATAAGAAAATCAAATCAAAACAAAGATTTAAATCACATACATGATTAACATTAACAAAAAGAATGAGTTCTTATCAAACTCAAAATCAGAGACCTTAATAATAAGATCCAATCAACTCAGGTTTTCCATTATCACTAGGAAGCTCATCGTTCTTTATCATCTAGAGCATATCAAGATCCAATCTAAGCTATTAAAAAAAAAAAACAAAAAAAAAATGATAAAATGAATGATACATTTACTCTTTAAGATATCAAACCAAGAAGCATGATTTTTCATCTTCTTCATTAAAAGAAAAAAAAATTACTAACAAAAAGAAGGAGATTGGTGAAAAGTTTTCAATTTTTTTAATATAAAATCCCAAACAAGCAAAATCCCTTTTCTAATGGGGTAGTGAAAGAAAAGAATTGAGTGAAAAGAACAAAGAATTTAGGCAAACTCAAGAAATTAATTAGTGACCATCTCTGTTACTTCCAATCTGATTTGAGCCACTGTCTTCCCCAACAATGGTGTCGAACTAGTGCAACTATCTTCTAAGATCTCCTCCACTAGAGTAGTACAAAGCTTTGCCATTTAGAGACAAAATCAGTGTGCTTATTGTAGGGATGAACAGGGGTGATCTCAGGCTTTCACGACTAGAATTTGTCTTTTTCTAGCGCTCATTTTCCAACGCAGGGGTGTGCTAGTAAATAATGAACTATTTTCTTACGCTAGAAAATAAGACTCACTAGTAAATGCCCAAATTTACCTCAATATTTGGCTAAAATAATTATTTTCCAGTAGTTAACGTTGGAAAATAATGACGTGCCAAAAAAATTTTCGCACATTATTATTTTCCAGCACCAACCACTAGAAAAAAATAAGGATATTAATTATTTAATTTATAAAAAAATAATGTGTATTGGCTACAATATTTTTCAACATAACATGCTAGAATATAATAATTTAACGATCACGGTTTGAAGGTTTGTAACTACCTTACTATATTTTCTAACAGTTTGTGCTAGAAAGTAAGTTAGGATTATAAGCCCAACAAAAGCGCCAAGCCAAACAAAAGCGGCAAGCCAAACAAAACACCCCAACCCAACAAAACCCCTTATTCCTTCTTGATCTTCGTTTTGCCTCTTACAATTTTTGCCGTCTCCGCCATGCCCCAAGTTGCTTTGGGTCAATTTTTGCCATTTGGTCACCGGAAAAGGTAAGTTTGACAAGATTCCAGCCTATTTGTGCATTTTTTTTCCCTTTTTTTTTTTTTAATTTGTTGACTTTTTTTTTTCCTTAGCAGCACCAATCAACACTGTTGTCTCCCCATTGATCAAACTATTCCTAGCATAAATAAGATCAAAGCTTGTTCCTTTCTTCAATTTTTAGGTTATCTTGTTCAATTCGCTAGTACTTTTGGCTTTTTTGCTTGCTGGGTTTGATCTTAAGATGGGTTTTGGTTTTTTTTTTTTTTGGCCATACAGATTGGTTTCATTAGTTTTGTTAGTTTTGTTTGTAACTTTACAAAATGCTGCCCTTCTCTTTAGGAACTTATTTTGTGCCATTCCTTAAAAAATAAAGGTGATAATTTCTCTTTTTAGATTTTCAAAATTTGAATTATTTTCCAGTGCAATGCACTAGAAAATAAGCATTATTTGCCATTTCCCAACACTTCTGAAATGCCACCTTATTGTATTGGAAGCGTCACACTCCAAATTATTTTCCAATGCATTGGATTGCAAAATAACCATTGTGTCCCATTCCACCCTGAAAATTTTTTGAAATGCCACCTTCTCTTTTGTATTTTCAAAATCTTGATCATTTTCCAACACATTGCAATTGAAAATAAGTATTCTCCACCATCCAACTATTGAAAAATTCAAAAATGCTGCCTTTTCACTTCTAATTTTCACAACTTAGTTTATTTTCAAGTGCAATGCATTGGAAAAATAATTCCATGCCTATATAAATATACTTCCTCTCTATCTACTTCTTCATTTTCTCCTTTACCACTTCTTCTACTTCCTGTTTCTCTCCATTCCTTATTCTCCTTTTATTCCACCTTCTTTTTTGCGTTCTCTCTCTATTTCCTCTTCCTTTTCTTCTAGATTCCTTCTCATGTCCATTCCATTTCTTCATCCTCCTCTTCTCAAATTCATTGCTATTTGCTAATTTTCACTTAAAAAGTGTACTAATTCATTCCTTTTTTTTTTTAGGTATATAATTATATGTTCATTCATCCCAATTTAAGGTATTGTTAATTTACATTTATAATTGTTTTCTAATTTTCACTAATTTTCATTCCATTTCCTCTTTCTCCTCTTCTTGCAAATTTTTTAATTTATACTAATACTTAAGAAATATACTAATACTCACTTAAGAATTATACTAATTCATTCTTCTTTTGTTTTGGTATATAGTTATATGTTTCATTCCAATTAAAAGTATTATTAATTTACATTTATTATTGTTTTTTAATATTCATTTGGATATTACACTAATTTATTTATATTTTTCCTAGCAACTATTTTTTTTTAAATGTTGAAATTAGAACTATTATTTATTTCAATTTATTAATAGTGTGATTTTCATTTGTTCTATTTTTATAAGCTCTCATGTGTATAACTAATTTAATTTGTATATATCTTTTTGTAATTTTATGAATTACATGACATTAAAGTATATTTATGTTTATAATTAAATTTAATTGGAAAAAATTAAGAAAATATATGTATTTTGTAAAGTTTTGTATATGATTGAATTTATAGAATAAAGTTTGTCAAATGTTATTGTGTTTATATGTGTGATATTCATTAATTTAAGTTGATTTAATTAATTTATAATATGTGAAGTTCTTTATTTATTCAAATGATATTATTTTAAAGATATTTATGTGGTGTGTGTATATATATATTAAAATTAGAATTTATTTTAATTGAAAATTATAACATTTAAAAAATGAAAACTATATTTTTTTTGTTAATTGGCTCTTTGTTTCCAGTGCATTTTGCTGGAAACTAAGAGTCAGTTAAATTTTCAACGTATTGTGTTGGAAAATAAGTTGATTATGTAGCTTATCCTCAAGCTCATTTTCAAGCGAATAGCGTTAGGAAAAAGAAATTAATGGCAAATAATTACACATTATCAGCCTACCATTTATGTGTATTTTTCAGCACATTGCACTATAAAATATTGTAAGTTATTTTTCAGCGCATCGCATGACACAAAAAACTAACTATTTTTCAGGCAGTATTTTTATAGTGACAATTTTCAGTGTTCATCACTGGAAAATAATGTATTTTCAACGCTTTTTATTTATTTTCTAGCGCTAAAAGTGCTGGCAAATAACTTTTTTTTTTTTTTTTTT